TAATATGTTGCCCAGTGGTGGGGAGAGATGAGCTCACAGTGCTTTCAGCAGGTAATCAAAGCCTTGCCTTAAATTGCCTTTTGCTGAATGTTTGTTCCAGGGAAATAGCCAAGAGAGGGAATTCTGAAGCCTGTGCTCTGAAAATGAGGTGCCTTGCAGAACAATGGACTTGTTAATTAGGTCAACCTTAATAGTTTCTGCAGGACTGCAAGAGATTTACCCCAAAAGACCTCTAGCCACTAATTTATTAGTCATCCCAAGGATATGTCACAATTGCAGGCACTCAGAAGGAGCGGCTGAAATCAAGTGAAGTCGCTCTTGGCTGGGCATCAGATAGCAGGGAGAGTCCAATGGCCTCCTGCCATTTGCAACATCCTTTGAGGACGCAGGAGGGTGAGAGAGGGAAGAATTTGAAGAAAGAGAGCACTGAGGCTTATAAGGGGACAATATCTCCCTGGTGCCCAGGTATTTTTAAATGTTTCTTTGACAGAGCACCAGAGACATTTCCCTGGTAATGAAGGCAGGGAAGAGGTACCATCTCAGACATTAAATATAACGTTTGTCAAGCTTGAGTGTGTGTGTGTGTGTGTGTGTGCGCGCGCGCACGCGCACGCGTGCCTGTGTGTCTGCATCTTTGTGCTAAGTATTTGCAGAATGTCTTGCAAACAACTTCAAAGAACTAGGGAGAAAAACGGAAGTGTTCTGGAAAGAAAAGGTGCTCAAGATATACTTTTGGTTCACTTAAAGAAAAATCTGTAGTTCTCCCAAGGTTTCAAAAATGTTTTAAAAGCCTCTTAAATTAAAAAAGTTAATTTTACTAGCATTTATTACATGCCTACTGTGTACTGTGCACTGTGCTGTGTGATTTTACAAACACTATCTCATTTAATTTAATCCTCATAATTACCCTCAAAGTTAGTTATTATTATCCTCAAAGGCATTATTCCCACGTGTAGATGTGCAAATTGGGAAGCAAGAGGTTAAATGACACAAACATGGTGACACAAACAACAGAAGTCTGAGCCTTCGTCCCACACGATATGGAAGAGTCACAAGGGGTCTGAAATCTACAATGATTCCCATTGCAGGAATTCCACTGGCTTTGACATAACATGAGGCATGAACCAAGTGCAGCCTGTTTGGATTACTTGTATTTATTATATTTGACATAGCAAAAGTGTATCCAATATAACATCATGTACTCTAGTGATCTATACAGAATAACCTCCTCGTTAGGATACATTCTGCTCACTCATACCTTTTTCAAGAAGGAGTGGAAACCACAGTACCTCAGTCTCCACCTCGGTCTCTGTTGTGATCCGAGGAGGCGTTCTCTCTTCCCAGTGGCTGCCTGCACTGCCATGTGCTTTGGGTCTTGTACAAGGCTCTCAACAGAGTGAGGGTCAAAATGTCTGGCCAGAGACCTGAACTTCCAGCATCCAGAGAGCAGAGAGACAGCATACGGCTCTGCAGATACAGCAAGTGCCATCAAGGTACGGACCTGAAGTACTCACGCTCTGGTGGGGCACCCCCTTTCTGAGGTGGATTTCCCAAGAGGCATTGTTATTTACACCCCTGCTAGGATGGCGATATACAAATGAGACAACCCTACTTGGCTGAGCCTAAATACGATTAGTTTACGGCTGAAGCCCATCTGGCTCTAGGTTTCATGGGTGAGCAAATTATATATGTTGATCTTTATAAGGTGTGGTGACCCTCACATGCTGGTGTTGATGAAGGGCTGTGGCCAGAACTGGGATCTCAAATCTAAATTATACACGTATATGGTACACCATATCCCTGAATGGCTGGTGGAATGACTTGGGACTATGAGAATTTCAGGTGATTTTTTTTTTAAAAAATGAAACTACAAAAAAGTACACAATCTGGAAAATGTTACAAATATCTTTGATGTAGACATTCCAGATTGTCCGATGGGGAACTGCAGTTTCTGATCAGTGAAGCATCTGGAAGGTTAGAGCACAACTCCAGGAGAGACGGCCATTCTCATGCAGCCCTCTTGGGTCAGATAACAGTGGCTGCCACGTAGGGGTCCTACCATGTGCAGACCCTGTGCACACGTTGTATTTAAAATTTGCAACACCTCAGCCACGAAGTTGTCATTAACGCCTTTTATTTTTTGGCCGTGCTGCACGGCATGCGGGATCTTAGTTCCCCAACCAGGGATAGAACCTGCGCCCCGTGCAGTGGAAGCACGGAGTCTTTTTTTATTTTTATTATTGTTTTATTTTTTTAATTTATTTTTGGCTGCGTTGGGTCATCACTGCTGCGCGCGGGCTTTCTCTAGTTGCACTGAGCGGAGGCTACTCTTCGTTGCAGTGTGCGGGCTTCTCATTGTGGTGGCTTATCTTGTTGCAGAGCACGGGCTGTAGGCGCACGGGCTTCAGTAGTTGTGGCTCGCGGGCTCTAGAGTGCAGGCTCAGTAGTTGTGGCGCACGGGCTTAGTTGCTCCGCGGCATGTGGGATCTTCCCAGACCAGGGCTCGAACCCGTGTTCCTTGCGTTGGCAGGCGGATTCTTAACCACTGTGCCACCAGGGAAGCCCAAGCGCGGAGTCTTAACTACTGGACCGCCAGGGAAGTCCCTAAGGCCTTTTATAGTCAAGAAAACAGAGGTCCCGAGAGGTTAGAACCATATTCAGGCACGCACAGCTAGGAAACGGCGGCACTGACATGTACATCCCACATTCTTCCATGGTGCCCCGGGCTCTGTTCTCATCACGCAATTTTTCTGAGCCACCAATTCCACACATCCCTTAAGCAAGATTTCAGGTTTTTGCCTGCCAGGGTCCACCATGCCCTGACTCTTTTCGCCTTCGATGGCTTTCTGTACTGGCCTCGTCCTGCGCTGGTACCCACTCTGAGTAGCCCTGCTCTAGGCAGTCTCCCACTTGCCCTAAGTGGGCTCATGGAATCGACTTGTCTACACTACTCAGGTCCACTCCCCGTATTGTTTCCTTATTCTTCCATAAGCAGAAGTCTTACGGAATTAAATGTGTATGCTTTTCCCCTATTCATCTGTCCGACACCAGTTTTAACTCTTATGTCCAGCCAAAGAGCCTAGAAGAGTAGAAGGAAGTTTTTCCCTTCCTACATGTGTCCATGAATCCCCGAGGGTCTTGTTAAAATGCAGATTTTGATTCAGAAGGTCTGCAGTGGGCCCTGAGACTCTGCTTTCTAATCAGCTTCCAGGTGAGGCCATCCTGCTACTGGTCCAGGGATGGCATTTTGCTTTCCCAGAGCCTAAAGATGGTGTTTAAAGTTCCTGCAAGTGCTTTCATTCTTTTACTGCAGATAAGCACCCAGGAGATTTAAATCAATCAATGACCTCGAACTCCTACATGAGACCAGTCCTGGGGGTGGGAGCAGATTTGGGACAGGAGGGAGCCTATAGCTGGAAGCCCTGTGCCTGGGGCACTCCAGGCTGGATGTCTGAAGCCAGACAGATAGGGGCTTTGGACAGAGTGAGGGCACAATGGGGGTGCTGGGTGTCTCGAGGGGTGATGGGGTGTCTGGAATGGAGGGCCAGCAAGTAAGAGGCAGAAACAGAGGTTGGGTAAATGCCTCTTAGCTTAAAACTGTGTTGAGAGCTCTAGATGTTGCATGAAATCTTTTGCGGAATAAAGTGAGATAGAAAAAAAATAGTAGGTGGGTTTGGGTTTAGGGGGCTTTTTCTTGGGAGCGGGGTACCATTTTATTTGACTGATCTCCCTAAGAGTTTGGCAAAAACATATTCACCTAAAGTCACAATGGGCACAGCTGGAAAATGACTCTGGGGTCCAAGCCTCCAACTTGTCCTAAATGCCCTTCTCTTCATGATTGTGGGATGCTCAGACGCCAGAAAACTGAGGAACAAACCCCATTCCCAAACCCCACCTCCCAGACTTTCTATTCCTCAAGGTGAAAGTGTTTTTAAAAATATTTTTTAAACTCAGAAATTGTGAAAAAAATTTTGAGTGTAGTACAGGCATTTTAACATGTTACATTACATGTAAACAAACAAAAGCTCATGACTACATCAAAAGGATTACATTAGTAATACACAATCAAAGCTGATTTCCAGTTAAATGTAGAAAAACCTGTGGGTCCATCAGGACCACCAAACCTGTATCCCCTCACCAGAATTCTTAACACATCACCCTTGATGGGGGAATTTGCACAGGAAGAGGAAATTCGAAGTTGAAATAGAAGTGGAGAAAATAACCCATAGACTTTTTTTTTCTGTATATTTCGACTTGAAGATTGAATAATATCCAGTAACAGCACATAATAAGGGGAAACTATTCCACTGCAAATATTTCATAAAGCACCCCACCACCACTTACTAAAATTTAAATTTTTTAATTTATTAAAATTAAATTTTAACATTATTTAAAATTGGGGGAGAGGTAAGTTGATCATTTAGAAGGTCAAATGATTCAACTGAAATAATTTCTGAGACATTTTTTTAAAGAGAAATTTAGAGGCATAGTCCAAACATCTATGAGTCCAAACAGCTCTTTTTCTTCCCCAACAGCTTCACATCCCAAAGGCATCAAATATTAAAAGTAACAACAATCCTAGAATACTCCTTGATGACATAGCCCCTTTGTGTACATTATAATACTCCAACTGGCCAGAGAGACAAATAAGTAGAAAACGTCATGTCCAAAGAAAAGACCTATGACCTAAGTTTATATGGGGCTCCAAAGAGCTTAGAAGAATTACTATTTAGAAATAACTATAAATGAACTACCTTCTATATGATCCCTGTGTAAGAGAAGATTCTCTAGGCTGAAAAAAATTGTCTACTTTCAATTCATCCACTTAGCCAAAGGTCACCCTGTCCCAGTGGGTGGGAAGACCAGCCTCGGAGAACACCCCCTCCCCCCTGCCCTTTCCACCTCCTTCCTCTCTCCTCCCGCCCTCCCCTCCCCTTTATCTGCCATCTCCAGCCCCAAGCGAAACCCTTGAAACAAAAGTCAGAAATTAGGGACGTGTATTTTTTGGTTATTTTCGCTTTTTTCTTTGTTTTTGGTGTTTCCTTTCTATCTGCAAATTTGTCTAACTTCTTACTCGCAGAAGAAGTCAATATCCTGGAAAAAAACAAAAGCAAAAAAAGATTGAGCTGAGCATGCAGGGTCAGAAAACAGATGTAGATTCTTTATTTCAAACCATATGTCATCAAAGGGAAATCTGGATTTAAAATAAGCAAAGTCTGAACCCCAAAGACTATGACACAAGTATTACTTTAAGTCAAAAACGACTTAAAGTGAAGATTCTCAAATACACTTTTAATTTATGGTTATTTGACACTCTCAAGCTCAATGCTAAGACATGATGACAAGTGAGTCGCATTTGTGTAGGTTGGGCAATGTTTTGAAGTTACTTTGCACAGCCGTTAGCTCCAGGAGAATCGTTTCAAAACAACCACCTTGCAAAGTAGCTCAAAGGGGATCTTTTATTTCTGTTCTGGGTATACAAGACCCCAGGGCATTAGGAAGAGTACAATTTTTTTTTCATGCATAAGTAGAGTCTATCTATCACAAAAGTAGGCACTCAAAAATTTTCCAGAATGTTTTGATTTTGTCCAATACAGGTGCTGATTTTTTTCTCAGCCCAAGTCTTTAGTCAACAAGTGTACCCATGAGTAAGAGTCAGTTAATATGTTGGTTTCTTTCTTTGTGACATGGAGCCCTTTCCAGGATAACTTGCATCTAAAACAAAGGGGGTTGGTAGAGAAATTTCACTAACCTTTCCACATTGATAGTAGGTATAAATACTCCCCCAAATCTCGTTGTCTAGAGATGTCACCACTGAAAGTGTCGGGGGGCTTTGCATGACGCACCTTGTAAGTTGCATGATGCATTATTCACACCTGCCTACATCTACGTTACCTTGAGATCTGAGTCCTTCCCTGGCACCTCCAGGATGCTTACCGTGGTGGGAACTTCCTTGGTGGCTTCTTGGTACACGTGTTGCTCCTGGACCAAGTTGCTGGGGAAATAACCCACAGTTCCCATCTCGTCCTCAGGTTGATCGCCATAAACCTGAGTGCCCAGAAGTGTCACAGTGAGGGGAAAGCTGATGTGAGTCGTCTTTTAGAAACCCTCAGGCATCCTCTTTGCTATCCATAGAATTACATAACTGCCAGTGCTTTGCTTCTCAGTCTGGATTCTGGGGGACTCAGACCCAAATTTGAAGTCAACCCACAGAAATTGTGTGTGTGTTCTTTTGTGGCCTAATCTTCCTGGTCTCCCTACTTTAGCATTTCTCTATGCAATCTTGTGAGCTGCCTGAAATCTTTTTTGGAACCCATAAATAAAGTCTGTACCTTTTTAAAAAAGGTAAACAGACACTGTTATTTTTAAAGGACTTTTAAAGGACTCTCTCTATTTTTAAAAATTCAAATGAACAGGTCTTAAGTGAATCTAAGATTTAATTCTTTATTACTTGAGAATTTATCTCTGGTGCTGGAGCTGCAGCTGCAATGGAGGACAGTAAATCAATCCGGCCTCATCCCTCCCTAGGGCCCACCCCTGCACGTTTTAACTGAAGAAAGCAGATTCTTTGGAATTAAAGACGGTGCTAAAGTTTCCTTAAAAATATTGAAACGTAGCCTGACTGCCAGCACACATGCCTTTTACTTGGCAAATCCACTCAAATATTTTTGAATAAGTTTCAAACTCTTTGGGATGTTCAAGCCCCCATGTGTTTGACTAGATTTCTTGCCAAACCATCAAATAAACCTACATTTGGTTTTGTTATGAAATTTTCTTTGTTTCTTCAAAATGCAATAATAGCAAATATATATGAATTTTTGCACTGGTACCCACAACATCTATATTGTTCTTAACAGCTAGTTTTAAATAGTAAAAGGCATTGCAGATAGGTAACAGAGGAAAAATTAAGAGAAACATATGTCAAGATGTGTATATATTTTAAATGATCTCGTCTTACACTGCCAGCCCAAAATTCTCCAGCTTCATTTTCTTTTACCAGCTTTGAGTAAACATAGATCCACTGCCCTTTTTTAACGTTAATGAATCTACAGTCTGGGGCACTGTAATCTTCTTGAGCTCGGGCCAGAGAAATAGTATCTGGAAGAAAAAAACACTGAAATGTTTATCTAGAAGAAAAAAACATTGGCTCCTGGATTTTATCACAGCAAAAAGGCAGAGCATATAAGAAAACTAGGAAATCAGAGTGACTAATACCTCCTAATTTATAGCTCATGTTCAGTTCCAGAAGGTAACTAAGGTATTAAAGCAGCACCCAGCAGAATCTTAGCCAAGTGAATTCTTCATGGTAAGACACAAAAGGCATAGACCAGGAGAAACAATGCTAATCCCATGCACATTAGAGAAAATTCACTTACAAGTACCATTAGATTTTATGCTATTGTTGCATATTTCTTTTTGGATTATATAATAGAAAGGTAAGGAAAGGCATGAAAAAGTCCTTACAGACACACTCGTCATCTGCACACAGCTTCCTGGAAGCAAGTCTGTCCATAAATATTCCGTGCACGGCACATACGGCCACAAGACCTGGGAGGAAAAGTAACAGTAGTCTTGCCATCTTCCTTTTTTGCTGTTTTTGCTTTTGCCCTTTGAGTGGAAGTGGAGACTGACTTCAGTGCTTCCACATTCCTGTCTTTTATGTGAAAGCCAGACATCTGGGTAAGTCCCCCTGGCCAATGGGGAGGTGGCTACCGTTTCTCTGCTTTCATAACAGCTACTGGGCTCTAGGGGCTAGTTAGCATCTGATTTCCCAAAGAGACTCAAACTCTGTGTCTTTTTTACACACAAATTGTATCCAAAATGGTCCACCATTGTTAAAGTCACTTTCACTGTGGTTTATTGTATCAGGAAGACATTGTTGAAAGAACTATGAGAATTTTAAGTCATTTAAAAAATGTTTTTAGTTCAAACCTCATAGTCTTTCAATGTATGAGCAAAGATGCACTAACTGCAGGAAACTGTTGAAGATGTGAGATCTATACCCTTAATACAAATAATTTTGATTTAAACATTTATATAATAGATAAGTTAAGGATGCTTACATTTACAAATCATTCATGATAGGATTCTTAGGAGTCATGTCTGTTGGGGCAAGCGTGGACTGTAACTCATCAAGACCCTACTAACGGAGGGTGGTAGGGGGAGAAGGGGTAGGTGGACTGGGAAAAATGGAACAGGCTTTTTTTTCTACCTCCTCTCTCAGAGATTTTTGAAATTCGGTCTCAAAATGCTCATGGCTCATAGAGGAGGGAGTAAAGCTGGAGGTTTGTTTCTCCTCGAACCCCCATGCCTGCCTGGCCTGCTTCCGGGCGTCTTTCCCATGAGAAGAGGGGCACAGTTACAAGTCATCAAAGTTGAAGCGCTGGGACTTCCCTGGTGGTCCAGTGGTTAAGACTCCATGCTTCCAGTGCAGGGGGTGAGGGTTCAATCTCTGGTTGGGGAATTAAGATCCCGCATGCCACGTGATGCAGCCAAAAAAAAAAAAAAGGACAAAGTTGAAGCGCTAATACCTGTCCCTATCTAGTCAACAAATATTTCCTGAGCACCTGCTATGTGCCAGGCACTGTTGTAGGCACTAGAGACAGCCGTGAATGAAAAAAGGTCTGGACCCAAGGGTTTACTTTCTATTGGGAGGAGACAATAGGTTTCTGCTTGTCATAGGGTGTTTGGGATTTTTTTTCTCTCATAAGGTGGCCCCCTGCCCCCTCATTATTTCTAGACTAGAGGCCCTGTCAGGCTGCCCTGTCGAACTTGGTTGCTGATAAAGTTTTAGAGCAGAACCCCTTTTCTCTCCCCTGAAACACTGTCACCTGACAAAATGAGGGATGAGCATTCAACTTACAAAATAGGTACAAAACAATTTTCCAAGGAATAAACTGGTAAAACAAAATATAGTACAATGAAAAAGTTTGATTGTTTTAGGGATGTGTGTGTATGTAACAAAGTTTTACTGTTTGGGTGTGTGTGGTGTAGGGGTGGGAGTGGCGTGTTCTTTTCAAGGGAGGATCTCTTACACGGCTGGCCCTGATGTGGAAGCTCGTGAAATCCAATATCTTCATTATAGACGAGGAAGCTGAGGCCCAGCACAGGCCAGAGCTGCCTTTCTTAACCACTCCAAGGGTCAGCCAGCAGGATTGTGGTCCAGTGCTGTTTCCATGCATCCACTGGGGTTTTAAATTCTTTATTTCCTGTTTCACTTCAAGGAAGGGATGAATTAGAAATCACTTTTGAAAGCAGAATGCCAGTGCATTTTTTCTTCCTATAATCTAGGGGCCTAAGAGGATCTCTCGGAAAATGAAAGCATCGATCAAAATCCTCTTTATCCTAATCAGGCAGCTGTTTTACAAACTGCGACAGTCTCCAGCCAGCTGTCAACACAGGAGAGTCAAAAGACAATTGCCATTTAAGAGGCACTTTCAGAAATGAAGACTGCGCAAACTCAGATGGCCACACCCTAGGCAGGTCCCCAAAGCAGAGTGAAACGTTGAATAAGCCACATCCGAGCTGTCACAACAACTTAGCCAACTAAGCTGATGCTGACACAAAGCCATTATGGGCCATTTGAAGGTGGAGAACTAAGGAAAGAGATGCCAAGCCTTCTGAGTGCATCCTGGGCAGGCCTGGTATGTCCCAGCATTCTGCAGTAGGCAGAGACCGGGTGAAGACTAGAGGCCTCTTTGTAAAATTTTGCTCACAAATAGGAATTTAAACTTAGAATAACTCAGCAAGCTGTCGTGGCCGGTAGCACACTTGAGTCCCCACAGCACATTCGGAGGGTCCAGAGAAGGGCTCTGTCCTGAGCTTACTTCCCTCCTGCTTCTGGATTTTCAGATAGATTCTTTGAGCCTTTAATCCCCAAAAGACATTTTTTTTCCCTTTAGTTCCTAAATTAGCTTCTCAGTGTGGGGTTCTTAAAGTGGAGGCTGTGGTTCCTTTAGGGTCTAAAAATGGGCTTTTACAGGGACTTCCCTGGTGGTGCAGTAGTTAAGAATCCGCCTGCCAATGCAGGGGACATGGGTTTGAGCCCTGGTTCGCAAAAATCCCACGTGCCGCGGAGATACTAAGCCCTTGCGCCACAACTACTGAGCCTGTGCTCTAGAGCCCGTGAGCCACAACTACTGAAGACAGCATGCCTGGAGCCCATGCTCTGTGGCAAGAGAGGTCACTGCAATGAGGAGCCCACGCACAGCAATGAAGACACAACGCAGCCAAAAATAAATAAATAAATTTATTTTAAAAATTAATAAATAAAATAAAAATAGGCTTGGGCTTCCCTGGTGGCGCAATGGTTGAGAGTCCGCCTGCCGATGCAGGGGACACAGGTTCGTGCCCCAGTCCAGGAAGATCCCACATGCCGCGGAGCGGCTGGGCCCGTGAGCCATGGCCGCTGAGCCTGCGCGTCCGGAGCCTGTGCTCCGCAACAGGAGAGGCCACAGCAGTGAGAGGCCCGCGTACCGCAAAAAAAAAAAAAAAAAAGGCTTGGACAAGTGGACGGGGGTGGAAGCAGCCTCCTCGCCTTGACGTACAAGGCCCTGCATGATCTGGCCCCTCCGCCCCTCTTAGGTCACCTTCTGTCACTCCCCCTCACTGGCTCTGTTCCTGGCACACCAGCCACTTGAAAATGTGAAGCTCATTTCTACTTTAGGCCCTCTAAGCTTATTGCCTGGGATACTTTTCCTCCAGATACTGGTCTTCTGCTCTCTGATAGTCAAGATGTCTCCACCGACAGACCAGTTTAACAGAGCCAGTCCCGCACTCCCGCAACCCAATCCGTCCATCACTCGACCCGTGGACACTGTTCTGATACACGTTTCACTACCTGACATGCCTTGTTTACTTACTTGGTGATTTGTCCCCCTGACACCACAATGAAAACTCCACGAGGTGGGGACGTCCACTGCTCTATCTTTAGCACCCAGAAAAATACTCGGTACTTATGAATAGGTATTCATTGAATGACTGCATTATCCCCGAAATTATATGCTTAAGTGTATACATGCATGTGTACTCTTTTTTTCTGGGGAAAGTCCCTAGGTTTTATCGGGCCTAAAGAGATGTTCATTACACCCCTCAAATTAAGACTCATTGACTAAATGATTAGGGCAGAGATGCTGGGGTCCTGCCATCAAAGCATGGTCTCCAGACCAGCAACTTTAGCATCACTTCATAAAGTCTCTCAGACCCCAGCCCAGTCCTGCTAAATCGGAATCGACTTTTTAACAAGATACAAGTGATTCGTATGAACATTAAAGTTTGAGAAGTGCTGCTCGAGGGCAAATCAAATACAGCACCAATTTTTAGCCAGGATTTCACATTCGTCATCAGGTCTTTGCTGGATACAACATTTTCAACGGACAAAATGCCTGTTAAGTACCCAAACAAAATACTTTAAGCCTTTAAGTTTAAAACGGAGATGTGAAACTCTCCGAATAGTTTCCATTTTGACGCTATCTTCTATAGACTACCTTTGAAAAATATAATTTGAACTAATAATCTAATCATATAAGCCACTTCATAAAGGTAGAAATCTGCTTTGTTAGTTCTTAACTTTGACTCACGTTGGACTCAATCGGGGAGCTTAAGAAATATTGACGACTGGGTTTCACCCCTAGAGATTGGGATTTAATGTATCTGGGGTGTAGGTTAGGGATGGGTATTTGAAAATATCTCCCAGATGATTCTAATATGCAGCCAAAGTTGAAAGTTAAATTCAAGTTTAAAACTGCTATATTTAATGGATAACAACATCTGCTCCCTCTAGACCCTCCGTGCAACTCCCACGGATCAGTAAGTTAAGGATGGTCAGAAGATCCTAGTTTGATCGAATCTTTTTCAAAATATAGTTATTAAATACATGGAGATTAATGGGCCTCGAGAAGAATAAGTTACAAGTAAGGAGAGGGGAAAGGCTAGAATAAACTCCGTGCTATTGGGTTGCAATCAGAGGTACTGTTGCAAATTCATTATTTTTAGTATAAAAGGTTAGGACAGGCTGAGGAACTGACAGGAGACTAAAGAGACATGACAACTACACTCAACGCATGATCCTGGATTGGATTTTTGGGCCATGATTGGGACATCAATCAATAGGATGGGGACTTCCCTGGTGGCACAGTGGTTACGAATCCACCTGCCAATGCAGGGGACACGGGTTCTATCCCTGGTCTGGGAAGATCCCACATGCCATGGAGCAACTAAGCCCGTGTGCCACAACTACTGAAGCCTGCATGCCCTAGCGCCTGCATGCCGCAACTACTGGGCCCACGTGCTGCAACTACTGATGCCCACACGCCTAGAGTCCATGCTCTGCAACAAGAGAAGCCACCGCAATGAGAAGCCTGCACACCGCAACGAAGAGTAGCCCCCACTCGCCACAACTAGAGAAAGCCCGCGCAACAACGAAGACCCAACACAGCCAAAAATAAAATATAATAAAATACAAAAAAATAAATTGGATGAATGTTGTTCCTTGATGTTGCTGGTCATCTAGAAGTTATGTGGAAGAGTGGTCTTGTACTTAGGAAATTCACACTGAAGTTTTTAAGGGGGTAACACGCGATCAGGTCAACACACTGTCAAATGGTTCTGCCAGGGCTCAGGGTGG